ATATTTACGTATGCATATATATGTGTATAGAGATAGACAGATAGATATAGAGATAGTATAGAGTTAAAGATAGATATACACACACACATATATATGCATACATAAATATGTATGTGTACATACACATACACACTACATGCATATAAAATGCACATAACAATTTAAATGTATGATGGCTTTTTAAAAAGGCACTGATTCCTCCATGCAGGTTTGGAGCGGATTTTAAATCCTCAGCATGTGGTGTATTTTCTCCTTTTTGTTGTTGGATTTGGTGGTAAGAGGAGAGCCCAGGAACCACAGAAGGGAAAAGGAAAAGGACAAGTGTCTTGTTGGTCCAACCGTTAGCTATAAACATTGATGGATGGTTTTCCCCAACCGCGTTTTTCCCATTCAAGAAAATATCTGGAGAACTTAAAATAATCAACTGGCTGGCTGGAGCCCCTTTCTTGGCAGTGTCACATTTTTGTTTCGCAACGGCCTTACTTTGGGACACCATTCCCAACCTGAGATGGTTCTTCCCAGTTGGGCAGGATTTGAGTCCCCATTAACCCCTGCTGACCACAAGTTATGGGGTTTTCTATCCAATATATCTGGAGAAGGCAGGTGGTAGAGAAGGTTGGCTAATGCCATTGTGACAATGCTAATGCCATAGCACAAACCTGTTACCAGATGGACTGATAGCAGTAGTGAAGAGTGACTTTTCAAAGCTTGTGTCAACTACAGGTATTATGGGCTCATCCCCTTTAAATGCTGTTTTTGTGGCCTTAATGGTCAAGAAGAACACTTGTAGATTAACCACTGCACTGTTGGTACTGTTAACTAGTGAAACCATTGGCTAAATTCCACTATAATACTTTGGACTAATTGATTACCTTATCTGATTAACATCAGAGCTCAAATTATGTACTGCAAGCTTACCCAAGCAAGCATGTTCCAGATGTTTTAATCATTTTCCACATTCTTTCCCAGTGGTCTCTAGGGGGGATTCTGGGAATTGAAGTGACAACATCTCAAGTCGGGTTAGAAATCATTTTCATGGAAAGAATTGTAGGAACCTCCAGTTCATTTGTCCCTCTTTAATGTGGAAGGTATTTTTATTTTATTTAATGTTGTTTTAAATTTAGGTTAACGTTACATGAATTGGCTTTTAACTTCATTTTGGAACCTTTTTAACGGGTGGGAATACACAAAAGATTCATTTGCTGAATTATGACAACTCGGCTTCTGATTCTCGTTGGGGATCCCACATATTTTAAAGTGGGTGCGATTTTCGGTTGCACGCTACATGCAAAAGAGCCATAGGAAAATGTGGCCCCCTGCTGCTGCTCCCCCCTCCCTGTGTATACTACAGAGAAAAGGTAATACATTTGTCTGTTGATTCCACCCTTGTAAATAATTTTCTATTTTACTTTTTTGGTGGTAACTATCGAGATAAATATTTTAATTAGATAACTTATAAGAAATGAATTACATTGTGTATCAATAAAAGCCAAACACTGGAATTTGTCTCATTTTTTTTCTCTTCTCCTATCTGGAACTGTACTTCCTGGACCCCAAAGGTAAAAGTAACAATTCCTAGACTGTCCCCCAGGCTGTGCTGCCATGCCAAGAAAATGAGTAATTGAGAGTTTTAGCTAAAAACAGAGATCTGTGAGAACTTAATAGGGCTCCATGAGAGACTTAGGAGCAACAAGGACAAAAGGTCACTTGGACCCAGGCCAGAGACTGGCCATTTTTGGAAAGGCTGGGCATGCAATATAGATGCAATTATAAAGCATAGAATTGGGGAGGCAAAAGGGAAATGTATTACTTTAGTTATGAAGTACTGTATATACTGTACTATAGGCATCTCTTTAAATAGCCAAGTTCATACAGTACTTCATAACCAGAGTTCTGGATCTTTTGGCTAAAAAATTGGGATGGCCAAAACTTTTAATGGAAAACCCAGAATTAATTTCATACAATGTTCTTTCCTGTGTATTTTGATTCCCATTAGTATGACCACCTTCTTTTTGTTCTTTGTCTTATATCCAGAGAAAGTACTGGAGGTAGCTTTATTGTTCTGGATATTGTCCTAGGTTTAAGATTTGGTATTTGTTCAAAGAAGATTGTACAATTCTTCCTTCCAGCAACTTATTTGTAGAAGGTGTTTTTTGTTTATCATGCATTAATTGTACAAAAGATCTGTCTGGAGAGAGTTATTTATCTTGAAGGAGACAGTCTTTCAGTCATGGCAATACATATGTGGAAACGTTCAGCTTTCTCTATCTGGTTCTGCCTCACAGGCTGAAAGTTCTGAGTTTTATAATCCTAATATATCTGGAAGGCACTGTGTTGAGGTACCATGGTAAAATCCAACATTTTGGGAAAGTTCACTTTAAATTTAAAATTTTGGGATGGCTAGGACAAATATTAATATTTCCTTTAAAAGTAAATTAATTGTATTTCACACCTGTAACTCCAATATAGTTAAATAAATTATGGGATAATACAATTCTTTGCAGTGAACTCTAAAGGGCATGTTCTGGGTTTTGAAGGATTGGAAGTCTTGTATCTCTGCCATCTGGGGAATATTAAAAAAAAGATAATTGAGAATCCACAATTAAACTCCAAAACTCATGAAAGAAGATATGCCTTTACTCTGTTTACAGTGGAAATAATAGAAAAGAAAAAAGGTAGCTCTTAAGACTTGGTTTCATGCAATCAACTGTCAATAGCTGAGATGAGCCAATCTACTGAACAGGGTTGGTTGGAAATCTGTGGGCTGCATTGGCACAACATGCTCAAGTTGGTTAGTTTTACTTTTTCCTTGCTTTGGCTCAGCACATTGCAGAAACCCAGCCTGTGATGTTAATTTGTAGGTCAGTGGATTGTTGCAAGCCCATGATTCATTCAGGTGCCCGAATATGTGCTGTGCAAACACTGCCTGTGGTTTGGTCTCAGTGCACTGTGTGAAATAGTCTTTTGAGGATACAAACTACAAATCATGGCTTAGCCATTGGGCAAAGCAAGTCATCACAATTGGCAGCTTAATGCAAGTGTTCTTGAAACACTTTTTCCTTCAGGGCCCCTTACGGAGGACCCCCAAAGAACTTGTTTGCATGGATTATATTGATCAACAGTTACTATATTAAAAATTAAAATTGACCCATGCACTGCCATTATCACTTCTCACTAGGGCCTGGTGGGATTTTAACACTTATTTATTTATTTTATTTATTTATTTGATTTGCCAATTGTTTACAAGATTATAAGTGTATACATAGTTGTGAATACATGAAATGGGTACATATAAGAAAAATAAAAGAAGAATAAGAGAAACAATAGGACAGGGACGGTAGGCACGTTGGTGCGCTTATGCACGCCCCTACTGAATTGCTTTTCAACGTAGGCTGGCCAATGTTGGCTTTGAGGACCCCTGAGAAGGTCTTGGGGGACCCCAGGGATCCGAGGACCACGGTTTAAAACAACGCTGGCTTAGCGCGCTGTAAGACGGGAAAAAACAGCTGTTCGGTTGCCTGGGCAGCGAGAAGGCAACGCCCCTCCCCACGTGACGGGATATTCCGGAAGGACGGTACTGCGCCTGCGCCCACTTTTGTTGACGTACGCGCGTGCTGCCGGCGGCTCTAGGTGGGGGTCTCGACTATGTCTCACGGGCACAGCCACGGCGGGGGCAGCTGTTGCCATGGCGACGACCACGAGGAGCCTCCTGAGCGGCGAGGCCAGGCCTGGGGCCTTTACCTGCGCATCGACCGCGAGCGCCTGGAGTGCCTCAACGAGCGAACGGAAGGCAGCGGGGCGCTCGTGTTCCGCGCCTGGGAAGACCGTGGGGATAAGGAGAAGGTCGGTGTCTCCCCGGGAGCGGG